CAGCAGGAAAATGGTGTCATCCGAATGTCCTTTGACCACTACTCAGCTCTGCATTAGCCTGCTCTGGCAAAACTTATAACTTTGGATTAACTGTGTAAAGGGACCTTTTTAAACATTAACAAGCCCTGCTGTCTACACATTTGTATGTTTATCCTGATATCCATACAATCTGAATTTTTTTTTTTTTTTAAATATGGGATATATTTGGAGTGCTTAAAACTGGTCAAGATGAAATTGTGTTAACCTTCTGTTTAAACATTATTTTAAATTGGCTTTTTATTATTGTGTGCTCAGATCTGGGGACTTTCAGAGATTCATTAATTGGCTTATCTTGAAAACATCTGTGATATCAAACCTGTCTAATTGTTTTGTAAAAAGAATGTAAGCAAAATGTTTTTAAGCCAAGTATCCGTTTCTCTTTTTGTATTTAAAAGATGTACTTTGAAGTTTTTTGTTCTTATGTTTACTTGTCAGCATTCTTTAATGGAGTTTTGGTATTCTGAACTTGTATTAGAGAGCATTTGTATGATGTTCTACAAAGCAAGTATAATAGGTTATGATTAAAATGGAAATGATTTCCCTGTTTGTCAGAATTTCAAATGCCTTGAGTTAAATGGTGACCACAGATCAAATGTAGAGAGTTGAAATGTTTATTTCAGAGTGCTAATTAATTTAGCCTGTAATGACAAAATCAAGCTTTGTCTGTGGATGAAGTGATTTTTGGTTGTACCCTCAATTTTTTTTTTTTATTGTTTTAGAGGCATGGAAAGCTATAATTATCTAGTATGTGTGTGTTGCATAGATGTTCTTAAAAATCATGTGACTTGGAGGTTCCCAGCCCCCCAGGTAGGCAGTCTGTGTTATAAGTGTCCTTGACCATTTCCCCCAGCTCTTTCAAAGTGAGCCATTTACGTCTTCAAAGACGGAAGCCAACTGTGGCGGAGGGGAATATGCCACCGCCTTGTGGGGGGAATAATGAACCCTAAACTAAGGAAGACTGAGTGAGTAACAGGATCTTGGTCCCCCCACCCAGTGCTTTAGGTCTCTGTATAGCAGTTGGTATATGTTCGTACTTATCGTGTTGCTCAGGCGAGCTATAGTCAAGGTGGGGTGGGCTCCAGGATTTACTTTATACACGATGGCCCCTGGAGTGTGTATGTATTAAAGGCTCTATTCCATTATAAAGCCTCGTCCGGTTCTTTCAAACCAGGAACTCCGAGGGACGACTCAGACCACTTGAGTATATAAAAAATATAACCGTGCTGGTTTATTCAAAGAGTCACAGGCAAGAATTCACACTTCCAGTCCAGAGATCTTCCAACCCCCAGCCTGCCAAA